TGAGAGATTACATCAGTACTTTAGAAGCTTTGGTATATAAAGTGAGAGATTACATCAGTACTTTAGAAGCTTTGGTATATAAAGTGAGAGATTACATCAGTACTTTAGAAGCTTTGGTATATAAAGTGAGAGATTACATCAGTACTTTAGAAGCTTTGGTATATAAAGTGAGAGATTACATCAGTACTTTAGAAGCTTTGGTATATAAAGTGAGAGATTACATCAGTACTTTAGAAGCTTTGGTATATAAAGTGAGAGATTACATCAGTACTTTAGAAGCTTTGGTATATAAAGTGAGAGATTACATCAGTACTTTAGAAGCTTTGGTATATAAAGTGAGAGATTACATCAGTACTTTAGAAGCTTTGGTATATAAAGTGAGAGATTACATCAGTACTTTAGAAGCTTTGGTATATAAAGTGAGAGATTACATCAGTACTTTAGAAGCTTTGGTATATAAAGTGAGAGATTACATCAGTACTTTAGAAGCTTTGGTATATAAAGTGAGAGATTACATCAGTACTTTAGAAGCTTTGGTATATAAAGTGAGAGATTACATCAGTACTTTAGAAGCTTTGGTATATAAAGTGAGAGATTACATCAGTACTTTAGAAGCTTTGGTATATAAAGTGAGAGATTACATCAGTACTTTAGAAGCTTTGGTATATAAAGTGAGAGATTACATCAGTACTTTAGAAGCTTTGGTATATAAAGTGAGAGATTACATCAGTACTTTAGAAGCTTTGGTATATAAAGTGAGAGATTACATCAGTACTTTAGAAGCTTTGGTATATAAAGTGAGAGATTACATCAGTACTTTAGAAGCTTTGGTATATAAAGTGAGAGATTACATCAGTACTTTAGAAGCTTTGGTATATAAAGTGAGAGATTACATCAGTACTTTAGAAGCTTTGGTATATAAAGTGAGAGATTACATCAGTACTTTAGAAGCTTTGGTATATAAAGTGAGAGATTACATCAGTACTTTAGAAGCTTTGGTATATAAAGTGAGAGATTACATCAGTACTTTAGAAGCTTTGGTATATAAAGTGAGAGATTACATCAGTACTTTAGAAGCTTTGGTATATAAAGTGAGAGATTACATCAGTACTTTAGAAGCTTTGGTATATAAAGTGAGAGATTACATCAGTACTTTAGAAGCTTTGGTATATAAAGTGAGAGATTACATCAGTACTTTAGAAGCTTTGGTATATAAAGTGAGAGATTACATCAGTACTTTAGAAGCTTTGGTATATAAAGTGAGAGATTACATCAGTACTTTAGAAGCTTTGGTATATAAAGTGAGAGATTACATCAGTACTTTAGAAGCTTTGGTATATAAAGTGAGAGATTACATCAGTACTTTAGAAGCTTTGGTATATAAAGTGAGAGATTACATCAGTACTTTAGAAGCTTTGGTATATAAAGTGAGAGATTACATCAGTACTTTAGAAGCTTTGGTATATAAAGTGAGAGATTACATCAGTACTTTAGAAGCTTTGGTATATAAAGTGAGAGATTACATCAGTACTTTAGAAGCTTTGGTATATAAAGTGAGAGATTACATCAGTACTTTAGAAGCTTTGGTATATAAAGTGAGAGATTACATCAGTACTTTAGAAGCTTTGGTATATAAAGTGAGAGATTACATCAGTACTTTAGAAGCTTTGGTATATAAAGTGAGAGATTACATTATTACTTCCAGCTTTGGTATATAAAGTGAGAGATTACATCAGTACTTTAGAAGCTTTGGTATATAAAGTGAGAGATTACATCAGTACTTCCAGCTTTGGTATATAAAGTGAGAGATTACATGAGTACTTTAGAAGCTTTGGTATATAAAGTGAGAGATTACATCAATACCTTAGAAGCTTTCATCTGTCTGTATCAACAGTAAATCTGTTAAATATTTCTTGTGTATTTATGATCACACGGCATGTGACCGAAATCAGATAAACGAAATACTCAATGCGATATTAAAAGGTGGATGACAGTCAAATGACTGGTACATAGATTATTTATAAAGCCATTACTATATGATTGAATCAAGTAAACTGTGACCAATACTTAATACTTGATAAAATGTCTGCCGAGGGCAAATTGTATTATCTAGGGAAAACCTGATGATATATACATGTACCACTGGTATACTTACAATGATATAAACCTCACTTTATATTGATGACATTATTAAAAGCAGAGTCAGAAAGACATTCTACAAAATAAGTATAAAAATTGGCACAATTTACATTGTGCATGCACATGCTCAATATATATCAACCGATTTCTAATAACCTCATCAAAGACTTATAATATTTCTATGTTTTGTTATAGGTATCAGGAGTATGGCCAATCTAGTAACATAAGGATTGTTTCTTAGATAATTGAAATATTTATGTGGTCAAGGAAGACCCAACGAGACCCACCGTCTTCTTTGGTCACATGAATATTTCAATTTTTAAAATATTGTAAAAATCCAGTGTTTGGTTTGGTTTGATTTAATTTTGTTGAACATCCTATTAACAGCTAGGGTCATTTAAGGACTTGCCTCCATGTGTGTACTGTATGCATGTGTATGCAGGAGACAGGGTATGTTGGTGTGCTTGCCTCCTTGTGATAGGGCAGATCTGATGCCGACTTTATAGTGCTATCTCACTGAAATACCATGCCGAAGGCACCCAGCACAACATTCCGCTTGGTCACATTATACTGACAACGGGTGAACCAGTTGTTGCCATTAATCCTATAAATCCAGTGAGCAAAACCCATATTGAAATATGTTTACTAAAATAGTATGCATTTGTTTCTTTTCTAATGCTTTTACAACATAAAACTCAGGTTTACAGGGACTGTCATGGTCATATTGTTGAGTTCTTTTTGTACAGTCTGTTTTTAATGCAAATCACTCCTGGCAGACAGATTTAGTGAGATCATCAGATCAATGAGGAAAATATGCTGACCAAGATGGAAAATAATGATCGAGACCATATTCCTTAATCAGCATTTTACTCTGTTGATTCTTATTTTGTTAAGGCCTGGATATATATAATCAATTAAATTGAATTAATTAAAATGTCATCTCACAGCTTGCTTCGTTATCAATACTATAACAAAAATAACAACTTATTCACCGTAACAGGTGTTCTACAGGGATCAATACTAGGTCTACGTCCCCTTTAATTTATAAAATGTGTATACATCAGTGACTTTCTGTTATATATGCTGAATATATATGCAGGCAGTAAATACAAGATATTTCTTTCTGCTGATTTGACCACATTTTAGATACACATGATATGTGATAGGGGGCATGTGCACTTCCGCAATACACCGAAAATATGAGAGTTTCACGAAACAATACGCGAAAAAACCTGGTATGTGGTTACAGACAGAATGTCTAACACCAGGCACTTATTTAGACAGCAGATATCCCTTTCCTGAAGACAATAAAATTTCAGCAATTTTTGTCCAAATTTACCATTATTTTACTTTGATGATGTTGGTTTGCTATTGATTTACTTTTACACCCTAAGTATACATGACTGCCAAATCATGTGACTTTTATTCTGGAATACAGTGGCGGATCCAGAGACCTATCTGGGGGGGGGGGGGGGGGAGGGGGTCCAAATTTCCACGGGGTGTTTCCATGTGGGGAAAAATTAAGGAAAGTGGTGAAAATACATGTTTATTAAAAAAAAATCTGAGGGTGGGGGGGATTCTTGAAGTGCAAAAATCACCTCTGTTCCGCCACTGGGAAACTTGTATCGTGGAAACAAGGTACTGTATGTATGACACTAAAATCCACCTTATAAGGGCTGAACTCTTTCAACAAATACAGCATCAAAATTGCAATTTGACTCTGACATATAAAACAATAATGCACTACAAACAATGTGAGATTTCATAATAATCCTTATACAACTTCTGATGTATGCTCATCGGTATACCCAATTACCCCACACACGTTACGTGATTTACAACTACAAAATGAAATTATCATCATTTTAAGATGGTGCCTACTCAATTATATTGGGGGCCCATATAGATAGTACCTGTGGCTTGACAGATCATGTACATGTAGGTAAATTATACTGAAATTCCTAGGCACAAAGGTAGAGAACCTGTATCATGGTCATGGAATAAGGTATTTGTACAAACAGGTTTTCCTTGTGCATGGCAGCCATTTTTTTAAACCCATTTAGACAGTCACCACATAATTTCTGGATAAAGTGGCTCTTATTTAAGTCATGAACTGCTTTCAGTTGGCATTCACAGTCAATATGAATGTGAAATATAAAATTTCCAATTCCATGAAGCACACAAGCACTTCCTGTTCAACTTGTCACATTCCAATTCCCAGTTGGCATTTATGTATATTTAATAAGAATGCAGACTGAACGTATGTTTATTTGTTCACTTGTTCAATCACATTTTGATACAGATGTCTCAGTGCAAGCTTCCATGTGAAAGTGTGTGCCTTTAATTGTGATTACTTCATAATCAATTTCTGTGTCATATTTTGATTTTTTTTTCAGTTTTCATTAATTAAACTCCAACTTAAACTTTAAAAAACTTTGCCTTGGATTCGGTGAAACTGATTCAGGCAACGACTATATGTATATATATATGACATGGTTAATGTTTCTACATGATAATCAAGCCCCAGTTTCATAAACACTCAATCCTTCAGAAAACATTGCTGGAGCTTTAAGGAAAACTTTGATAAAGATTTTCCTTAAATACAGCAATATTTAAGCTTTCCAATGGAATATTTAAGAGAGGTTAATGAAAATGGGGTCAGTTTCAACAAAATTGCATTTTTTTCATGATTCAATCTAACTGAATCTTTATACAGGGTTTTGTTGTCCAAATGGCTTGCTGGGGATTATTTTTCAACTTCAAAGAATGGGTCAAGTTTTGAAATTAACTGTGAAATAAGTATTGCTCAGCCATTCTGTGCCTGTATGGTATTTACTGACCAGCTTTTCTCTCTGTTACAGCCGGCGACTGGCTCCAGGGACCACATGTGTATGCCCTGTATGACAGTTATGGCATGTCTTCCCATGACATCGAGGTCCTGTTTGTCGCTGGCTTTGGCTCCAGTATGATATTTGGTACCATTGTTGGATCTTTCGCAGACAAGTAGTAAGTACAGGCTTTTGTTGTGAACAGTATAGTAGTTCTGTCTGTTCAGCCTTTGACTTTAAACATTAAAATTATACTCTATTGATTTCAGTAAAAGTTATAAATAACACATGAGCTACATGAAGATGGCCCATGAAGGCTGTATACTATAGAATAGTTTCCATGTATGTATATAAAGCATTGTAACTCATGCTTCTAGTACATTATTTATGATTTGTGTGTTGTCAGTGGTCGCCGTGCCAACTGTATCCTGTATGGGATCCTATATGGAGGTGCATGTATCACCAAGGTGAGTAGCATTGATCATGATCTCAGGAACACTTTATATCATGTATTGGAGCCGCTGAAACTCTTGCATCAGATATGATTTGAGCACTGGATACATATCTTATTGTGTGCAACATTTGAGATGCTTTATTAAGAACATTGGAACACTTATGTTGATAAAATACACAATAACTGGAGCTATGCAATTAGAATGTTTTCAAAACAAATCTAAACAATTGGATAAGACTAGAAACTGTAAAATTTTGTTTGTTGCCGATGCAGCCGGACTTAAAAAACAGTTAACAATAATTATATTTTCTCCTTGTTATATCCCCCCCCCCTTCCAGATAACAAGATCTATAAATTACTATTTGCCCCATATTAAATTTCACCCTCTAAGATGTAAACAACTGAAATAAAAAAAAACAATTAAAAAAAACAATTAAGGCAATTTACTAAAACTATAATCTCTTACCAAATGTTCCAATTTGAATTTTATTGTAATATTGATATTTTTTTTATTGTAATATTTTATCAATTTGCAGCATTTTAACAACTTCTACATTTTGATGGTGGGACGTTTATTGGGAGGTATTGCCACCTCCATCTTGTACAGTGCCTTCGAGTCCTGGATGGTGTATGAACACAACAAAGTAAGGCTGAAATGAACCTTTTCATCATTATTGTAATATACTGAAATATATTTTCACCCAGTGTTAATTTTGCCCTCCACATTTATTTTTTGTTTTTGTTATGCTGTTTACTTTTATTCGCTGTTATGATAAATTCGCCTTCATTACGGAGGTCGAAAAAGGCAGAAATTAAACTACAGCGAAAATTACCCGGTACACGGTGACTTGGCGCCATAATAAACCAGTGTTTAATGAAATTTGCCTTTTTTTACAAAATGTAAGAGTCTGATAATATGTGCTTAACATTTGTTTACAGCGTGGTTTCAGTCAGGATTCTCTGGGAAGTGTTTTCAGTCATGCCGTACTGGGAAACTCCTTGGTAGCCATTGTTGCTGGCTTAGTCGCTCAGTTCTTTGCTGACAGATTTGGATTTGTGTAAGTTGATACATGTGTTTGGAGTATTATTTCAGCTTCCATTTAAGCTGGTCTTGTCTGCCAAAGATACTTTAATGATAAAACACAAATTTAATAGCCTACCGAAACATGTCAACAATAAAACCTCTACCGTAACGTAATCCTTGGTGTTGGTGCTCCGTTTACTTTAATGAATTTATTACTCTTGGATGGAGCCCTGTTGGAATATCTTTGTGATATCCACCTCTAGATCTGATTCCTGTACCAGACAGACCACAGACCATTGGCCGTAGGACGTTGTATCTCCATGCTGAATAATTGTGTTGGTTTACCAATATTTGTATTCCACTTTTTATATGCCCGTCAAATTTGATAGGAGTATTATGGTATGGCGTTGTCTGTCCGTCCGGCGTAAACTTTTGTTTGTCCGGCAATCTCCTCCTACATTTTTCTACTGATCTCTTTGAAACTTGGTATACATTATTATCATGATATGAAGTTGTGTCTCCCTTTAAAGAATTTTGATTCAACAAGTTTTCCAAAAGTTTTTGCCCTTTGTTTTTTTCAGTATTTGATTTTTGTCCGGCAGTCTCCTCCTACATTTTTTGACAGATTTCTTTGAAACTTATAATTAGTAGGCTAAATAATAATGATATGTTGTTGTGTTTCCTTGAAAAGAATTTTGATTCGACGATTTTTGCAAAAGTCATTGCCCTTTGTTCATTTCGGTATTTGATTTTTTTATCCGGAGATTTTCTCCTACATTTCTATGGCATGTCAGCTAACCACTCTTTGAATGATGCAGATCTTATTTCAATGTAACAAGGTATATAACACTATATGGCATTCGACGGGCGTATATTGTTCCGCCCCGCGGTACTCTTGTTTGATAATACACAAAGTGAAGTCAGATGTTGATCTGTAGCATTATATCAGCACTATCATATATTGTGATGTTAGCAACACAGCTAAGTAAAGTCTTGTAGTGTTTAGGTACTTAACTTATTCATGCATACAAATTTAAACTGGACTTGCCCAGTCCTTGATTTGATAAGGTTCAAATGTGACTTCAGGGGTGAATGGGTTAAAGCATATCACCAAAAAGTATGTACATGGTGTCTGTTTGTAGGTACAGGTACTGGTATTTATAAAGGATAGATAAAACTATAAAGCTATTGAAAACAAATCTGCACATTAAATTCAATGAAATTAAAATGTTGAAATGAAAAACCTGTTTATAGCAGTAATATTTTTCACCAATTCAGACTCGAGATTTACACTTAAACAAAGACATTTGATGAATCATTTTGTGTTGTGTTGCAGTGCCCCCTTTGATGTGTCACTTACCGTCCTAACAATAATGACAGTGATAATTGTGTTTACCTGGAGTGAAAACTATGGTGACAGGAACAGTGACCTCTCCGTCAGCTTCAGTAATGCCTCCAAGTCTATAAGAACAGGTGAGCTCTTTGGCTAGTGTCTTTTATTCTATTCCAGGTCACATGGTTTGTCATGTGTTTGCCTATCTTTTTTTTAGCTCACCTTGGTCAAAGGACCAAGGTGAGCTTATTCCATACCTTGGTGTTGGTCATCCGTCCGTCAACATTTTTTGAAATCACTGATTGGAATTTCACCAAACTTAAATTGAAGCATCCCTAGTTGTAGGGATTCAAATTGTAAAAAAAAAAAGTGGTTAACAGGTATTAGCTCAAGGGTTTGGCCCTATCCCTAGGGACTTAGTTTCTGGGTCACAACTTCAAAACATTTGAGATTCCCACCCTTTAACTATATATACAATAACTGACAATAAAGAGAAAATACACACAGGCTACCAGGATTGGCTCTAGGGCCTGAACCTATCCAAGAGCACAACTTCTTTTCACTAATGAGAATATTTTGCCATGATTGCTTAAATATTGATGTAAGTGATGCAAGCCCTCTGGGCCTCTTGTTAATCACATCTTTTGCATCTTATTCATATCCTTGTATGTTCCAAATTGTAAGATTCTGTTTTGACCTTTGTATGATTCAAGTTCCTGTGTTTATTTTTATAGTGCATAGCTTTTCTTGTTTGTTCCAGATCACAAGATCCTGTGTCTGGGCCTGATCCAGTCATTGTTTGAGGGATCAATGTACATATTTGTGTTGGAATGGACCCCTGCCCTGACCCCAGAAACCCATGACACCGCCACAAGCACAGCACGCCATCTGTTGTCCTCCAATGAGACCACTATTCCTCATGGACACATATTTGCTGGTTTCATGGTAATAAAAAACACTATGACAGCATAATTTAAATAGGGAAAATGTCAGCAAGTCAGGGATAAAAGGACCAATTTAATTAATTGTGGATTGCTCTACTGATTTGAGTGAATATTAATTGTGTTCATTGTTCTATTCCTGATCAACGTTATTGATCAGGCATTTTTATCCCCTGACAAAATTCAAGGTGATGTAGTATACATGGGGTCACTAAAAACCAACTTCTTAGAGATATTACCCAGGTCCCACGTTTTGTACAAAATCTCCTGGAGATGCTCTGTACTACATTATTGGTGTAGTGATATTCCTTAGAATAGCAGAATACCATGATTGGTGCCACCGGTATGGCATTTCAGTGAGGTAGCACTATAAAGTAGGCATCAGATCCGTGCTATTGCAAAAAGGTAATTACACCAACACCCTGCCTCCAGCACATATGCTTGCATACATTACACACATGGAGGCACGGCCTTAAATAATCATAGCTGTTGATAGGACGTTAAACTCTAAAAAACAAAAGCAAATCCTTAAAATAGTGGTTTTCGTCCTATTTACTTAAAGATTTATAACAATAAAGCATATTCTTGTCTAAATTTAAACATGAAAGTGTATGTAATTTATGGTGACTTCTATTACATACTCAGAAAAAGTGTCTAATTTCAGTGTTTACTTTACAGGTGTCCATCATGATTGGGTCCTCATTGTTCAAGATCTTGTCTAGTTATACAAATGTGGAGTCTTTTATGAGGTAAGATACATGTACAAAAATGTATTCACATAAGACAGGGGGGCGGTGGGCTTATAACAGAGCACCCACCCTTTGTATGAAAAGTAAGTAAAAGTGTGGGAATGGTTTATTACCGAGCACCCACCCTATGTATGGAAAGTAAGGAAAAGTGGGAGGTGGGCTTATTACCAGGCATCGGCTTATCACAGATAAATTGAGGTAATGTTGTAAGACATCTGTTTTTCATTAGTGTGTAGGGACCTAGACTTCAAATGTAGCTAAAACATTGATCAAACATAAACATTGAGACTACAAGCAGTGAATATTTAAAGAGAAAAATTTACTGAAGATAAGTTATGAATTGTTTATAGGTGAATTTATTCAAAAGTGAGTTGAAACATGTAAACACTGTACTGCTGCAATAAATATCATCTATAAGCAAGATTCTGCCTTGTTGTCCACGCTCCTTCGGAATTCATTGATGAACTATTAGTGACAGAAGTTAGAATATATCTTTGAAGCTTTATTTTTATACAGTTTCAAAATGGTGGGATGTATGTCAAAGTGAATCTTGAAATAACTTACCCTGACTTTGTGGTTCAGGAGTTAGTCCTCTATCAGCCCTGTGTTAGTTTGAAATCTAAAACACCCCTTCAGACTAACTTCCTCAGCATTTTCTGTTAATTTCCTCCCAGAAAGGACAGAGTAAGTCAGGTGAGAGATGGACAGATCTTGTATTACCTTGCCCCTCCCAGTTGTTGTTGATTAATTTTGTCAGCTAATTAAAACGGTGACAAAATTGAAAGTCAAGAGTAGATGGCTATCAACAGATTTTCTGCAATTGTCATTGGAATATTGCTTTTTAAAAATGTCTGTGCATTTTATATCGGTATGATACAACAGTTACAGTATGAAATTTCAGGATTTAGCAAATTTTTGATTCACCAGGCATGATGTCAGAGGCAAGAGACTCATTTTGTTAATATCATTCAAGTCTTCTACTCTAACTGTATAATATTAACTCTTATGTTTTGTTGTTTTTCAGATTTGTACTTCTTATTGCTGCTCTTTCACTTTCAACGCCTATCATCTTCAAAGGAGTGAGTATTGTACCAGCATTTCTCATTGCTCCGTATTTGGGTATTTCATGTGTTTGATTAAGGATGGAAGATCTAAAACATACCTCATACTTGTCAGAAACTGGTTATTCACAACTCCTTGTTTCTGCTTTAATTTTCGGAAATATTTCAAAAGTTTCATAAAAGAACAATAAAGTGGGTTTTTTTAAATTATTCGTTTCAAAATGTATCTGTCAAACCTCCTGCAGGCTTGGTTAATGGATAGATATGTATCCCAAAGCATGTTATTTAGGAAGTGATTAATGGTGGACCTCCCGTAGAACCAGGGTTTCTATCTTTTCCCTTGCCTAAGGGACACTGAAGAAAACAAAATTGATCTTCTGTCCCTGTTGCAGCACTTGTTTTATGAGTGCTCCGTAACTAATTAAGGAATGTTCAAGTAAATAGGGCCTGGCACATGACTTTAGCTATAGTAAAATATAAAACCTCAAATAAACAGAGAAGTTTCTGTTTGTGCCAAAATTATATTTGAGCACTGCATCCCCTACTGGATAGACAAGTTTCTGTCTGGGAGTATAATAGTTGTGACTTTACTAGATATCTCTTATTGAATGAACTGGGAAGGAAAGCAAAAGGATTAGGGGTTATTGTGCCCTTTTTAGTAAGTAAAACAGCATTTACATGTGTATATGTCTTTCAAAATATTTTTTTAAGAAGATCCATATACAATATAAAGCCTTAACTTATTAAATGGTAACACTCATTAGATGTAGTTTTTAATCAGTGGAATCGGCACTCAAACAAACCTGTTTCCATTTCAGAACCAGCTGTTTGTGTTCTGTGGCTTCTTGGTGTTTGAGACATGTGTGGGCATATTTTGGCCGTCGTTAGGTCAGATGAGAGGAAAATATGTGCCAGAAGCAAGTAAGTATCAGGAAATCACACAACTGTATTAATTGTACTGTTTTAGCAGGACATCATATATATATTAATTACTGCCTGATCCAGTTAAAATCTCATGGACTGCCTTTTTTAGCGATTCATCAGGTTTGTTACTGTCTGGTCCATTTAAAATCTCATCGGCTGGCATTTTAGTGAATATCAGATATGTATTACTATCTGGTCCAGGTGAATGTCATGAAATGGCTTTAAACTTTTCATTCAGCAGAAATTCACTAGCCAATCCTCATCTTATTACACCGGCCTAGTGGTCGCAGGACGACACATAAAAACCTAATACATATAAAAGTTATACGGGGAATGCATACAACATGTACAGCACATATTTTTTTTTATTTAAGTTGACTTTGTGAAAGGTGAAATACGTTCAGAATTGATTTACACTGGAATGTCTGGGTCATTTCTTCAAATAACTTGACAAGGTCTATAAAAGGATGTAGATAGGTGTCGGTGGTAAAAATCTGTAGATCAATTACCAAGTCATTACCAATAAATGATTGAATTGTCTATAAGTAATACATGTACTTATTAGAATTTAAATATTGCCATAGAGTGTTTGCCAATAAACAGTTAAATTGTCAGTAAATACACCTTCATATTTATAAGACACTGAATTAAATCCTTGGCCAGGAAAACAATTTCAAGATTTCTAATGCTGATGAAAGGGACCCATTCATTACAGAATGATGATGAAAAAAGGTCCCGAGACCTAAGACCCAAATAATAAAGTTTGTCATTTCAATAATAACTAGCTGAAGCTGATGCTAACATAAAAGGTGATATTTTTTCTCATTATAAATGAGCCTCCTTAACGGTATTATTGTACTCTAGCTGAAAAGCTTTATGATGCATGGTCGTAAACTACAAGGTTCATCGAGTCTAGTCAGTTTAATGTGTGTTTCTTTTTAGTTGATCAATAATTGGTCTGAAGTCCAAACCATGATTTTTTTGTCAAATCTTTCCAGGTTATATATTTAATAGTCTTTATAATGAGATATTGCCAACTCATGCATTCAACACACAGAAAGGACGTTCTTGTATATGTATCTGTCATAATCTATTCATTGATATACAATGTATGCTTAAATCTTTGGGGTCTGACTTACAAATGTCTTTTAAAGACTTTCTGTAAAGATTTGATTTTAAGATATATGCACTTGATTCTTTTTCAGCGAGAGCAACTATTATGAATTTTTTCCGAATCCCCCTAAACTTTATCGTGGTTGTGATACTCCTACAGGTAAGTGTTTTGACTAGATATAATAATTCTACAGTGTTCCAGGTGAATTTGATATTAAACACACAGCTAAATTTTGAAAACTGTTTGAGATCTTTTGATCCATACCATTGTTAATCACTTGATGGAAATGTCTTTCAGATTTAATGAAATGATCTCCTGTGAAACGGACGTAAAAGTTTGTTGATGATTTTGTAGATTTATATGAAATGTAACTATGCCATAATGTGAACTCCTGCTGAAGGTTTTACTTCACTACAATTATAGTGAAAAGGTGTTCAAAGTGTTAGAGCAATGTGTCTGCCTTTGTTACAGGCCTTGCCGATGAAGATGATATTTGAGTGTTGCGTAATGTTCCTCTTCTTAGCCATGATATGTCAGCAGTGGTTGTACAGGTCAGTATCCGCATCTCACACACAATACACTCCACCTCCAGAAACCCTCTCAACCAAATACCCTCTACATCCAACTCCTACAACCCTCTCAATCAAATACCTTATACATCCAACACCTACAACCCTCTCAACCAAATACCCTCTACATCCAACTCCTACAACCCTCTCAATCAAATACCTTATACATCCAACACCTACAACCCTCTCAATCAAATACCCTCTACATCCAACTCCTACAACCCTCTCAATCAAATACCTTATACATCCAACACCTACAACCCTCTCAATCAAATACCTTATACATCCAACACCTACAACCCTCTCAATCAAATACCTTATACATCCAACACCTACAACCCTCTCAATCAAATACCTTATACATCCAACACCTACAACCCTCTCAATCAAATACCTTATACATCCAACACCTACAACCCTCTCAATCAAATACCTTATACATCCAACACCTACAACCCTCTCAATCAAATACCTTATACATCCAACACCTACAACCCTCTCAATCAAATACCTTATACATCCAACACCTACAACCCTCTCAATCAAATACCTTATACATCCAACACCTACAACCCTCTCAATCAAATACCTTATACATCCAACACCTACAACCCTCTCAATCAAATACCTTATACATCCAACACCTACAACCCTCTCAATCAAATACCTTATACATCCAACACCTACAACCCTCTCAATCAAATACCTTATACATCCAACACCTACAACCCTCTCAATCAAATACCTTATACATCCAACACCTACAACCCTCTCAATCAAATACCTTATACATCCAACACCTACAACCCTCTCAATCAAATACCTTATACATCCAACACCTACAACCCTCTCAATCAAATACCTTATACATCCAACACCTACAACCCTCTCAATCAAATACCTTATACATCCAACACCTACAACCCTCTCAATCAAATACCTTATACATCCAACACCTTCAACCCTCTCAACCAAATACCCTCTCCATCCAACACCTTCAACCCTTTCAACCAAATACCCTCTGCATCTAACCTACACAATCTCCTCAACCAAATACCCCCTGCATCTAACCTACACAATCCCCTCAACCAAATACTCTCTGCATCTAACCTACACAATCCCCTCAACCAAATACCCTCTAGAACTAACACATATAACCCTCTCAACCAAATACCTTCTTCATCTTACACCTACAATATCCTCAACCAAATTTTTTGAGCTTCTGACTTTAAACTACTCTCTGCACATGGGACATTAAAAAACTCAATCAACATAATATTTCTACACTCAACACCAAACAAAACTTACAACAGAATAGTAATATGCCCTCAATACTGGACACCAAACAATTCATCTCAAACAAACTTACTCAGCATTGGACACCAAACAACCTTCTGAAACACCCTCAACATTGGACACCAAACAACCCTCTCAAACAACCTCAACATTGGACACCAAACAACCCTCTCAAACACATTCAACATTGGACACCAAACAACCCTCTCAAACACCCTCAACATTGGACACTAAACAACCCTCTCAAACAAACACCCTTGTCCTACACACTGAAGATCAAAGAGGCTGTCATCTTCAAATATATAATAAACTGTTGTTTTTTTAACTCATTCATCCCTGAAATTTCATAGTGAACTACCCTCTCAAACACCCTCAACATTCGACTCCAAACAACCCTTTCAAACAAACTTTCTCAACATAAGACACATGCAAGCAACCCTCTCAAAAATAATACGCTCAACATTAGACATGATTCAACACTGTCAACCTTCTACATATGACACCAAACATCTCTTGACTGAATATTCTCTAAATAAGCTACATTTTCTCATTTTCTACATCAAACAACAACCAACCTTTCTGACCCAGCAACCTTTCTGACCCAGCAACCTTTCTGACCCAGCAACCTTTTCTGCAGTCTAGATTTAACAGGGCTGTATACAGTTAGTAAAATCCACAGAAGATCTTCTTTTCATTTCAGTAATAATTACCATAACTTTAGTATGCACATATTCTACTAGCACCCATTATTTGTATCTCAATATGATATATTCAAAATCCCTCCCTTGGTGGAACTCTCCTTGTCCTCCTACACACTGAAGATCAAAGAGGCTGTCATCTTCAAATATATAATAAACTGGTTTTTTTAACTCATTCATCCCTGAAATTTCATAGTGAACTACTCCAACCTTTGAATTTGAAGAGTTCAAATTTTTTTTAGGGTTGAATGAGTTAAATGACAATATCATGATACAAATTGAAAATCAAAATGAAAATTGATCTTTCTCTTAATGTGTTTGACTTTGACAGTCTGTGCGTGCATGCTCGCTTTTTATTTGATATATTTGTGACCGATGCCCTGAAATGTGTGAAAGGAAATTGTGTCGATATATATAAATGCTAAGTTTGTTTTGAATACAAACAGTAATTGAAAAGGTTTTTTTTTTTATCTTTAACCCTTTTGAAAACATCTGTTTCCTTTGCAAGTAGCATTTATTATTCATTCCAACCTGATGAATCCCATTCCAAATATTGCTATATATAGTTATTAACAATCTCTGTACACCTACCTAAATAGCAATAACCTCCATTTTACTTATATGTGTATAGGTCATAACCTTTTTGTGTAGATAGTTATCTATTTGTGGAGGTGGTGACCTATTTGTGTAGAGGGCAATCCTAGTAATCTCTCTGTAAAGTTAATACCCCGGTAAACTATTATTTCTCATACATTAGCAAAACACTGACCCAACATTATTTACCATTTGAAGTCTTATGTTCTGTAATTAAAGCACCATCCCAATATTATTGATCCCCAACAGGTCAATAGTCCGTAAAGCACCACCAAAATATGATCTTTTGACTCCTTCTAATTAATATGTAAAGCACCACCAAAATATGATCTTTCGACTCCTTCTAATTAATATGTAAAGCACCACCAAAATATGATCTTTCGACTCCTTCTAATTAATATGTAAAGCACCACCAAAATATGATCTTTCGACTCCTTCTAATTAATATGTAAAGCACCACCAAAAT